TTTTAAGTAATTGTCAAAAATTACGTAGTCACAGTTATCATTGCGTAGTTAAAAAAAAAATTAGGAAAACGTTAATAATATTGGATAAATATTGTTAGAACGATTTAAGAAGCTTTTTTTAAATTTCTTTATTTAACAATGGTCACCTTACATTTATTATTCTATCTAAAGCCATATGCAAATAGTGGATTAAATCTTCCTCATTGATAGTTATTTTTTTTTTTAAAATTTACTTTCATTGGGTGGAACAAATTTGTTTCTTCTTCCAGTGATAAAAATTGAAAATATTTTAATCCGTAAAAAAATTTTTTTTTTGTGAGCAAAATTTATTCAGTCTTTACAAAATTAGTGATATTTTAATTGTCGGTTAATATGAAGTGTTATACCAGTTTTTATTTTAAACAAACTCAGTGTGAAAAAATGTTTTGGTTAAAAATTTGAATTTACTCGACTTTCAAAAGTTTGTTTAAATTTAAAATTGAATTTTTTTCCAAATAATCTCAACACCTGTAACATTGTATATATTTGTAATTTGAATAAAATATAAAAAAGAAAATAACTCTAATTTACACTACAACAATTGTACGATTTGTTGACAGTCCGGCGATAAAAGTTGTTTAGTTTATATAGCAACAAATTTCATCGGACGACACCTGAGTCAAATAAAAATAAACTATGAAATTTGTATAAAATTTGATTTTATAGTCAGTTTTATTTTACTAATCGGAAGCAGAAAGAATAGAAAAATATCCTCATATAAATTAAATATCTTTAATTTAGGAAGAAACGGATATCATTTGTTTTTTTTAGAAATGTTTTTACTTTGTGTAAAGTAAAAAAACAGTCCACCATATTCACTATCTTTGGATATTAATTAAAACTAAAAAGAATTTATTTGGAACCACTGAGACCAGAAATAACTTTTGTTTTGTTTTTTTTTCAAACTTTTTCTTCTTTTTTACTCTAACACTCCAGATCACAAATATAAAAAAAAAAAATTACTAAAAACAAAAACTAAATTTTATAAAAGTTTGGGGGGTCAAAATTTGCTGTGTAAATAAAAATTCATTGTTAATGAATGTTGTTGATCCTCCTACGGAAGCCGAAACAAATCTGACGTGAGTTTTTAAGATTTTATTTTTTTTTTTTTAATTCGTAATCTGGTGGAATGTTTTTGTTTTTTTGTTTACAAGACTTAAAACTTAAAAGTAGATACCTCCAAAAATCGCTGAAAAAAATGACCCATACTTGATAAAAAAGAAGCTTTATCGTCAAAATCATTTTCAAGAGGAGTGATCGAGGTATTTTTTTATTATTCTATTAAATTTTTAATCCTAGAAAGAATTAATTACTAGAAGGCACGTTCAAAACTTTGGTTAAAAAAGATTAGCTTTGCGTTCGGTTAAAAAAAAAAAAAACATTGTTTTCGAAATTCTCTCAAAAATCAAGTAGTTGTCGGATTTTAATGAAATTTTCAAGACTTTATTCAAAAATGAATGAAATTATTTTGGAAATGTGTTATTTATTTCGAAAATCTTGGTAAAACTAAAAATATTTTACATCTCTTACCCACGCTTATTTAATTTTATGAAATTTCAATAAATTTAAATTCCAGCCTCTTCAGTCCTCGTATTCATATTAAAAAAGCAGGACTCCTTTGAGAATTTAAATCATTAATTTATTTTTGTCAAACAGAAATATTTACCAAAAATCTGCTCTGAATCGTAAAATAAAAAAATGTAATAAAACTGACGTTATTAGAAAAGGTTTTAATTGTTTTTAAATAAGATTTAAGGACACTTGTCTTAAGAAAAAAAATTTTTTTGATGAATAACGAATTTTCACAAGAATTTTCATTTTTTTTAACGTTTTAATTAGAATAATTTATTAAGTTTTAAATCTTTTAAAATTCTGTATTAAATTCATTCTTTTAGATGATATTATTGAGGAAAAAATTGTATTTACTAATCATAAATAAATGGAAAGGCTTATTTTTAAAGGAATTTTGAATTTTTTTTGTATGCATATAAAAAACATACCGATTTTTGTAGATACAGATGATCAAAGATGATCAGAAAATAAGAGCAATAACTATAGTAAATTTGAAGTCAGAAAGTATCTAAAATTCAATAACATGACACCACAATTTATTCCTGCCTCAAAAACAAATCTAGTCTCACTGGCAAAACTCACGTGGCTGTGCGTCTCGAAAAGGACCTCCAATCGATTGTGAATTGGGGCATGAATTGGCTGGTCAACTTCAACGCTTCTAAGACAAAACTGCTCTCTATTAATCACCACAGAGATCCTTCCCTTCCTCCATTAGAATGTCTGACGTTCAACTTTCGAGAGAGCAACTCTCTGCGGCTTCTCGGTCTCACGTTGACTGCTGACCTGAGATGGAATAAATACATTGAGTCAATTGCCTCGTCCACCCAAAGTTGGCTCCCTGAGCCGCGCCAGGAAATTTTTCTCCCCTGAGTCGATCCTCCAGATCTACAAATCAACAATTCGCCCTTGCATGGAGTATTGCTGCCATATATGGTCTGGAGCCCCTTCTGTTTGCCTCAGGGTTCTTGATAGGCTCCAGAGGCGGATATGCAATATAATTGGCCCTGCCCTGGCATCTCGTCTACAGTCACTTTCTCACAGACGCGCCGTCGCCTCCCTCTGTCTGTTCTACAAATACTTTCATGGAAATTGCTCCGAGGAGCTGCATTCGCTGGTTCCCAGACTTCATGAGTTCAAGCGCCCTACGAGGCTGGCATCCCGCTCTCACCCCTTCACTGTCGAAACTCCTAAATGTAGCCGTCTCTTCTACTCCAATAGCTTCATGTCTCGCACCTCTCGCCTGTGGAACTCCCTTCCCTATTCCTGTTTCCCTGTGAGCTATAATCTCCAGCTATTCAAATGTAATGTCAATCGACATCTCCAGTTGCCTTGATCTATCCACCCTCCTCATCCTTTCTTCTATCACTCCTATCTGATCTTGCTCTAAATTTTCTGTAACCCCTTGCGTCCCTAGTGGCTTCCCGCCTTGCTTGGGGTGAAATGCTTAAAAAAAAAAAAAACAAACATTACAAAGAATATTTTCTTAAATTTTTTAAACTTACCGCCATTTTAATTTTATATAAAAAAATTTATCTCATGTTATATTCAATTATTTTTTTACGATTAAAAACTCCATAGAACAACATAAGATAAACATCAGTCTGTCAAACATGTCTACAGATTAAATAGCAGCTACCACTCTGTTAAAAAAATGCATTTCTGAAGTATTTTAAACTCAAATAATATTTGTTTCAAATCAGATTAACTTTATATAATATTCTGCAAATAAAGTTTCAGAAAAGTATATATTTCATTTTTGAAAGATTTTTTTAAGAATTGTGATAAAAGGCAATTTAAAAAAAAAAAAAAAAAGGCGTTACTCAACTATTTTAGCAAAAAAAACACCTTCCAGTGAATTTTAATTATTTTTTGAAATACAGTATTTTATTTTTTAATCTATTAAATTCAAAATAAAAACTAAAATTTAAGATAGGCTTCAGGAAAAGTTCAATTTTTTGGATTAATTTTTTTATAAATTGTGGTTGAAAAGTTATCAAGACAAAATGTTGTTCTCTTTTTTTGAAATTATTAAATAAAATTTTCAAAATAAAAATTCGTAAAATTTGGCTTTCTGAAATGACAAACTGTCCCCTCCCCAATGTGTTATAGGAAAAAGAAGGATAAAACAAAAAGACAAAATTTTTGCCCCCACTACACAACTATTTTTTTTTTAATCAAGCCACCTTCTTAAAACTTTGTTCCTAATATAAACTGTATAGAGACGGTAGGTAATGGGAATGTATTAAAACATTACTGACTTTATTAATTTTTATGTCTGTTTTTTATTTTAAGTTTGAAAGGCAAACATAGTAACAAATAAAAATGGCAGCTAGCAAATCTGATTGTTAGAAAATTTCCATTTCAAGTAGGCCATTCCGTTTTTCCATCTTCATGGAAAATAAGCCTCTCTAAATATATCATTGAGGTTTATATGCTGCTAAACAAAATCAACAAACCAACCAATCCACCAGATATTATTTAAATAGCAGAGTAGACTAAGTTTTCTAGTCTTGGCTGGCAACCAGTGTCATCGATGAAAACAAAAAAAAAAATTTTTGGAAAATTTAAAATTTAGTTGTGTTTGAGCATTTAGCAAATATATCAACTCCTTATGGGTCATTTAATGCCAAAATTTAATTTTTTGGGTAGCATTAGTAATTTCTTTTTATTAAAAACTTATTGCTGGTAATTTTTTAACTATTAGAATGTATTGCTGGTATTATAAAAATGTTTATACTTTCATCATGTTTAGGGTTAATTATTTGCCCATAGATCGGACCCTAGCAGATGCTACCACCCTAGGTTGGTGTGAACTTGGGAACAAAAGCAATTAAGAGGTGGTTCCATGCTCTTCAAAAATTCCTGATCTGAGACTTTGTTGCCGAATGTAGTTTATCGTTCATGTTGATATAATTTCAATTTAAATTTTTCAATCAGTAAAACTTTTGTGTTCAAACCTTTTTAACTAACAAAAATGTATTTCAAAATGAAACAAATAAACTACAAGAAAATAAAAAGGCAGACATAAGTCTTGAATTAATAAGAAATATTTTGAAAATATTAAAAAATAATCAATTTATCAAAGCCATAAATATCTGAATCCTCAAATCACTACCTTATTAAATATTGATGTTTCCCCTTCCCCTAGATTTGTAGATATAAAATGTGTTACAATAGATAATATTTTAATTAACTTTTTGAAATACCATTTAAATTTTTCTTTGAGAATCTTGGTTCACTATTGTCAGCAGATTTTATCACTGATTTATTTACCTATGAATTGTTGATAACAAGGCCCTTGTACTAAAAACAATGTTATTGTATGACTTTATTTTCTTTTTTTGAAGATTCTGAAATGCCCTCTTGTCAACGATGTTGATAATGATTGGATGTTAGAACATTTAACCAAACCCTGCCATCAAAGGTTACAGATTTTGCAATGGCTTTTTTCTAAGTAAGTCAAACATGGAATTAATTTATTACAAATCTCTGATTAAAACTTTTAATTTATTCATCTATGTTCCAGGTGAGGAAATATTGCATGAACAGGAAACAGCAAGTCTTGGGTTTTTACCAAATTGAGGACTGTGAGCTAAAGTTTCATTCTTTTCCAGGAAAGATATATATTATAAAAGTGAAATGGCACCACGGGCTTGTAAGCTACTAGGGAGGCAGATTTAGCGTCTGCCTGGGCCATGGGGGACACAGGCTAAAGAAAGCAACCTTTCTGTTTGGTTGCTGTAAACAAAACTGAAATTGACTGATGCTATTATCACTGTATGGAGTGATGTCACTAAGCAAATTTCCAATTACCCATGTGATTTATCTCCAATTTTTTTTCGATAAGCACCTTCTGTATCTTTACAAAATTAAAGAAAAAAAGAAGCAGTGTGTCTGTGGAACTTGAAGTCAGATAAGTCTTTTGAACTTTTGAACTTTCCTTTATTTTTAAAGAAAGGGATGGGTTTTTTTATTTATTAATCTGACAGATTTTATTGCTTAAATGTAATTTTAGTGGATAAAGATTTTTCTGGGTAGACACTCCATTCTATTTATTTTTATAACTTATTTTCATCTTCGCCACTGAATATTAAAAAAAAATTTTAAACTCTTGATCAGGATTTGAACCTGGATTTTTTAAAGCAAAATAAAATATTTTTAGTTTTAATTTTTAAATGTTTAAAATCTCAATTGTTTAATCTTAAAGTTGGAAACAGTGCCTTTAAACACAAATATTTTTTTTTTTTTTTTTTTTTTTCAAATTCTTGAAATAAAACATATCTTTCAGTTTCATATCAACAAACACAAACAAAAAAAATTCTAAAGAAAAATTAATCCGAAAAAATGTGCATATTTTTTTAATAATGTTGAAGGATATTCAGGCCAGTAGATGAAAATCAATAAACATACTATCTACTCAAATTGGTCATTCCATATCAATTCAACTAATCAGTGTAACCCCAGAAACTAGATTTTTTTTTTCCTTTTGATGTATCTTGTAGATTTTATAATCATTAGAATGTCCTGAAAACTTCAAGCAAAAATTCCTAACCATTCTCAAGATATTGCAAGTTGAATTTGGTGAATCAGCATTTTTCAGCAGCAAACATTTCCATTTTCAAATTCAACAATCTCACAAAAGCTATTATATCTTTTGATTTAACTATTTTCAATTAATGAAATTTAATACCTTCTTATAGATTTTAGTCAAACAAAATTCCATATATCTCCTTCTATTTTACAGGGAATAAGTAAAAAACATAGATTTCCCATTTTTTTTCTGGTGAAAAAAAAATAAAAACATTTTTAGGCAAGACAAAACACAGGAAAATTAAAAAAATGTCCTTTTGACATTCCACTAAAGTTGTGAAATGTCCTCTCCAGCCCCTAAAGTTGTGAAATGTCCTCTCCAGCCCCTATAGTTGTGAAATGTCCTCTCCAGCCCCCAAAGTTGTGAAATGTCCTCTCCAGCCCCCTATAGTTGTGAAATGTCCTCTCCAGCCCCTAAAGTTGGGAAATGTCATCTTCATCCCTTAAAGTAGCAAAAGGTGGCACATCATTTGAAAACAAAAGTATTTGGAGAATAAATCTCAATAACTTTCATTAGCCATCTCTCAAAGCTACCAATTCTAGACCTATTAGGTTTTTTCCCCAAAATTCTGATTCATGGTAATTTCACAGCTATCATCATCTAATACTGACAAATTCTACTGAAGGTCATTAAGTCCATAGGTAACAAAACATTGGGGAATTGATATTAGAGAAAAATATGTTCTCTCTGCAGAAATCGGACCTGCATTCCCCAAAAAAGTGTCAAAAATTTTTTGACATTAAAGTTTCCTCTTGGCCAAAAAGTGTTTGATAATCAAAAAGAATAGTGCCTTTAAAAAACAGATTTTTTTTTTTTCTGACTCTTTTAATAGAAATTATTTGCTCAATTTTCATATCCTAACACAAACAAAGCAATTTTTAAAATTAAAGGGACAGTGTTTTTTCCAAATGCTTATTGTTTTAAAATGTTTTTGATTAGATTGTAATAAAAAAATTTAAACATATGAAAATGAATTAATACTTTTTTTTTTTTTTTTAAATTTTGGGTTGACAAGAAAATAATAAACACTATTTACTTCAATTGTTTATTTATTTACTTCTTTATTCAAAATGCTTGGAAAAAAAGCAAAAAATTTGAATGATTCAAACTTTATAAAATGGTAAATAATAAGGATTTCCTCATAGTTGGTTTTTTATTTTACTATTAGGTTGGTTTAAAAATAATGACGTAATAATGTCGTTTTTTTTTCGTTAAAAAATACGTAAAAAAACGACATTATTACGTCATTGTTTGCAATAAACCTAATAATTTAATAAATTTATAAATTTAAGAATAAAAATTTCTTTTTACATTTATTTCTTTATAAATTGGTAAATGATAAATATTGCATTGCATTAGCTCGAATTGTATTAGCTAGAATGTTGTAAGTATAAAATTATTCTTATAAATAAACAATCACATGAATAGTGTCTAATAATTTTGTTATAAATTCTCAAGAGTAAAGAAAATGTATAAATTCACTTTCATCATCTGTTTAGGTTTTATTCCAATTCTAAACATTACTTTTTAAATCAATAAAAATTACCCGAGAGTAAAAGTAATTAAAAAAAAAAAAAACATGTCATGGGAAAAACAGTCCTTTTGACATTGTCTTGCAAGCACATCTATCAATGTTTGCTGACAAGACTATGTAAAAATGTTACTTGTATTGTAAACAAAAAGCAACCAGTATCTACACTATTTATTTATTATATTACTTATTTGAATGGATGGCAAAACATCAACTAATATTACTTATTTGAATGGGTGGCAAAACATCAACTAATATTACTTATTTGAATAGATGGCAAAACATCAATTGCCAATTGATTCAAATTTTATAAATTTATGACTAAAACAATTTATGGGTAAACATTGTCTTCACATTTATTACTTTATAAATTGTCAAAAAATAAATATTGTATTGCATTTGTTCTAATTGTAGTCTTCAGAATGTTGTAAATATAAAATTATTCATGTAAATAAACAATCTAATAAATAGTGTTTTTTGTTATAAATTCTCAAGAACAAAAAAAGAATATAAATTTACTTTCATCATATGTTTAGGTTTTATTCCAATTTTAATAATCACTTTTTAAAACAATAAACATTGCCAAAGAATGGAAGTAGTTAAAAAAAACGGTGTTGTGGGAAAAACTGCTTTTGACAACATCTTATAGTGAGCCTGTTTATCCATGTTTACCATTTTATCTTTATTCTAAATCATTTTCATTCTTTGTATTTTGACAATCCTGACATTGTTTTATTTCTTTTAAATAAATGGCTCATTTTTTTCTCACAGAATTGATGGAAAACTGGCTGAAATGATTGAAGCCAACAAATTCACAGAAGAAGGAAAACAAACAAAAGGTATTCACACATAAATGCCACCTTTGATCTGCTGGTTGTTAAAAAATCAAAGTTGAAATCAAACTTCAAATAAACTTCTCTTTAACCTTTACAACTCTGCACTAACTTGGAGTTATATCCCCTGAATCAATATTAATTTTGAGTGTGCAAAGTTTGTGAAGGGTGGGTATATTCAGTCTGTTATGTGCCATGCATAATACACGCTTAGGCGATCATGTATCTTTCAATACATGACTAACAAGGCAGATTTTTTTCTGCAGTAGATTACCATTTCTTTCTGCAGTAGACCAGTTGCCATCCAAGGTTATAGAACCCAGACTGTATTGCTATTTACCCATAGCTGGGGGGAGAAGAGGATTCATACCTTTCCCAAGGGTATTAGCAAGTAAGTGAATGTAATGGATTAGTCTGGAATTCGAACTCGGCTCTCCGATTCATCAATCCAAGCCACTATCCATTACTCCACTGTGCATACCCGTATGTATATTACTAACACTCTAACTTTAAGGGTTTTAGAGATATTTTTATAAAATTTTCGTGGTATTTGCATGAAAAGATATAGAAAATGTAGACATATTTTTTTTTACTGTACATATAATAAATTTTAAGAAAAGATAAAAATCATGAAAACTAAAAAAAAATATGACAATTAACAAAAAAAGATTCCTATTCATCACATTATGAAAGCTTTGCATATATAAAAGGGGGTCAGTAAGACAAATACAAAGGCCATTTTGTCAAACCTATCAAAAAAAGCAAGACCAAAAATGCTTTCATTTCTTTAAAGCAAAAATTTTTCCAACCTCTGATTTGCGAGTTGGGCTTTGCTGTGGCACCTAATTTAGTTTTCATATTGTTTACATACCAATTAGTTTTCATTACCATTACTTGAATAACTTCATCAGATAAAAAAGATGAAAAATGCCTACCTAACGAGCTTCTTGATTAATATTTGTAGACCCAATAATATAGGAGACCTCTGGTAGCCACAGGTTTTCGTATGCTTATGATGGTTAAAAAATTCCACCATCCTGGTCGGAATCACTTTGTCTCAGTCATGCACATCACCGATATCTGCGCGGGTAAATCTGAGAAATTCTTTTTTGTCACTCTCCCTGTCCATGAAGAGTTCCTCTATCAACATAGCAGATCCATGCCTTGCCCTGAGAGTTGCCATTGTGATCAAAAAAACGAATGATTTTAAAACACTTTATTAAAATCTGCTGATAAACCAACTATTTCAATTAGGACAAAATGACTGACATCTAGTCATTCCCAGTTCATATCACAAGCTTAATGACATAATTTCCATAGTAATAGGTTAATTTTAGAAAGATACTTTCTCTTTGAAACAAAGCTCTGTCACTCAATGAAAATGTTCACCCAAAGAATATTGCTATCAGACATGTATGCCTGCAGAGTTATAAAGGTTAAATAACTAGAAATTTTTTTTTTTTATTAATTCCATTGCAAGCAGTACTATTATGGGTAGAATCTTGTTTTTGTTTTTTTTTATTTCATCCCAAGTAAGGCAATAAGCAAAGCAATAAAGCAGCTAAGAGTGTTAGGGAATATGAGAAAAAAAGTCTATTAAGGAGCGAGAACAATAAAAGAACAAGAATTAAGAAGATAACAATTGACATTGCATTTAAACTTTTGATGATCAAAGTTGACTGGAACCAGAAGAGAATTCCACAAGCGAGAAGTGCGATAGAAGAAACTTTTAGCATAGAACTTAGGATTCTATCTAGCCATTTCAACAGTAATATGATGAGACCTAGCTGCCAATCTAGTACTGCAGTTAAATTCATAAATACTATGTGCCATAGAAGAAAGTTCATCAGAACAATTACCATGAAAGTGTTTATAAAAAAGGCACAGGGAAGCTACTTTACAGCAATGATAAAGTGACTGAAGCCAAGATGCCAGATCAGGATCAATAACATTGCAGATTCCTTTTTGGGTTTTATCAAGAATTTCTAAACATATAGCAGAAGCACCAGATTCTTTGTGACAGCAATATTCAAAGTATGGTCGAATGCTAAACTTAAAAATATGTAAGATAGATTCTGGCAAAAAAAATTGTCTAGCTTGACACAGTGAACTAACTTTCCTAGCAGCAGACCTAGCAATTGATTCAATATAATCACACCACTTTAAACTTATTCAAAGTCAGTCAAATTGTGTGTAAATATGCATGCAAGAACTTGTGTGTACATTAAGTAACATAAAGCACATAAGTCCCTCACATATAACATGGGCATAAATATATACATTGCATACAGCATATACAAAATCACACGCAATGTGTGACTGACAGAGAATCACCATTTCTTTTGTGATATAGATTATATAGTTTTTATTTTGAAATTAAAAATCTGTTTGTTTTCCAATTAACACCATCTCAAAAGTTTTATGTATTTATGACTTGAATGTTTATTTAGTCTTCTTTTATATTTTCAAATTATCAATTTTCTGCAGTTGACTTCTAAGCTAAAAAAAAAATTGAATTATTGACAGCAAATTAGTAGTCACATCTTCAAAAGTCAATGTTTGTTCATTTAATGACAATTATTTTTTGTTTTTTTTTATCTCTCTCTGATTTTCAGTGTATTTCTACAGTAACAAATGATAGTCTGAACATAGGGACCAACACTACATGGTGAATCTATCTTCAGCCCATGTCTGAACACACACACACACACACACACACACACACACTAGGAAAATTAATGACAAAGTAGAAGAAATCTTTCCTGTGACAGGTTTCATTTTTCTTAGGACTTCAAAGGGCTAAAGTGATGTTTGTGTTGATGTAACTCCACATATGTATGAAGGAGAGGGGGATGCTGAAATTTTAAACTTTTTTTTTTTTCTTTTTTTTTTTTAAGTAAATACTCAAAGTAATTCTTAAGAGTATGCTAAAATGCACACTGGTGACAAATCACTCAAAGCCAAAAATGCCAGAAAATTATATAATTTTTATTATTTTCTGTCAGATTGACCAACCACTACTACAAGTTTCATCTGCTTGCACACAATCTTCAGGTAGCTTGCTTAAAGATTGCCTGCAAGCACATGAAACTAGCAGTAATGGTTGGTCAATGTAAGCCAGACCAGAATGTGTGTGTGTGTATATATATATATATATATATATATATATATAATGTCATTTTCAAACAGTACCATTTCGCTGTATCACAGCTCCTCAGTGCAACTAGACATCCAAATGCCACAAGCCAGGATCGAAACCCACTGATCTGTCTTCACTTGGCAGAGTTACACAGCTAAATCTAGCATATTGTTTTTACAAATGTAAACAAATGCCAATCAGCCAAAGTGTTCCATTCATTTTACTGAAGAGCATTGCATTAGCACAGGTGGTTTTTGTTTATAGAATTAGCTTATCACTCAACATGCTCAATTGAAATATATTTTCAAGAGCTAAATTATGTCATTCGCAGACAGTACTGTTTCGCTGTATCACATCTCCTCAATGCGACTAGACATCCAAATGCCTCAAGCCATTATCGAAACCCAAATGATTTGGTGTCAGTCAGAGCTTCTACTACTGAGCTATCTTCAATGTGTGTGTGTGTGTCAACTCCATAATGGTCATAGAAATGTTGGTAGACCTTGGCTCAAGTATGAAGATAAACTGAAGAGCAACCTTTCTTGCGTCAACATACCATTCAAGAACTTTGAAGAGATCAGAGTATAGTTCCAGCTGCTATTCAGGAATAATGCACCATCAAGCAGTCAGCATCATTCAACAGTGTGAAACATGAAAGTGAAATGAAACAGCCAACAGTGTTCCTGCTGCATTTGCATGCAATACTTTCTCCTTTACTGTTTGTGGTCTTTTGTGCAATTCTTGAGCCAGTCTCAAAAGTCATGCCAGTCATAGGCATACAGATAATTAAAAGGGGGTCTTCAGAACCTCGTATGTCAAACTTGATGTGAGAGTCCATCATCATATATAATATATATGTGTGTGAGGGATAATATATATTTTATATATCAAGAACAGTATTCGGAAAATTTTATGACAAAGTAGAAAAAGTCTGCTTGTCACATATTTCATCCTATTTGGATTTCATTTGTTATGTTGGTATGACTATGCATATGCATAAACAATGGGTGCTGGGATTTTAGAATTTATTTATTTTTTTTTTTTTTTTAGCTGAATTCATTTTTAGAGTCTTTTTCTTTCCATCACTTTTGTACGTAAGTATTCTACATTGTGATATTACGAGATCTATCAGGAATGTTGTAAAAGCCAGAACACAAATTTACTGTAGATGACCTTGCAATTAAGGCACTCTAGGCATTTACGTCATAATCAATTATTTCTCATTTGATCGGAGTAGCATTTTTTATGTCAAAATTGTGGTAAGTCTCATTACAGTCAGCAACTAATGCATTTGACATAATATTTTGTAAAATCTCCTGTTTTGTTCATATAATCTTTTATTTAGGTTTCTTGGGGTTTCTCCCATGTATTTTTTGTGACAATTATTACAGGTAATCAAATAAATTTCTCCTTTAGGTTTTAGCTTTTTTGTTTTGTAATGACTAAGTCTTTTATCGTTTTGGATTTGGTAGTAACACAAATTTTATTTTTAGTTTAGATAAATTCTTTTCGATTGTAGCTGTGATAGAATTAGTAGGCCCGGTAATATATTTTTTGGATTCATTGGGTTTTTTTTGTTTTGAAATATTTTATGGGCCTTTTGTTTCACATTGAATATGAAATAATTTGGCTACTGGAGAAGTTTGAAAGTGTTTTCAATGTATTTCTCTTCATTGTGTAAATAATGTGGGCTTCATATTCTTAGTGCTCTTAAGTAGAATCTGATGATTATGCAGAATTTTATTTCATTGTTATGATGAGAATAGAAATTTAATAGATCATTTTTAGTTGTTTGATTTCCCGTGGACACGAATTTTTAAATTGTTGTTAATGTGATGTAGCTTGATATCTAGGAAAAATAAGGAATTGTGTCCTTCCATTTTGTGGGTAAATTCTATTGTGTGTTTGACTTTGTTTAGTTGATCTACTAGCTTAGGTAAATCAGCACCCCCTCATTTGTGTGCATATAGAGTTGTACCAATATAACACATTTAGTCTGATGAAGTCTTGAAGGACGAAATGCATCACAAGTAAACTTTTTCCACTTTGTCACACAATTTCCCCCCCATATATATATATATATATATATATATATATATACATACACACACACACACACACACAGATTTGATTAAATTTAACTGAGAAAGCCTGCCTAATTTTTTATAGTATTTTTTCAATTGTCAAATAAGATGTTGTATATTGGGATCCAAATTGTTCTTGATAATGACAGATGGTCAAAAATACAAACAAAAAAAAAAAAACAATAGAACAAACAAGAACTTTGGGTATGATCCGCATTTTTGATCCAAGTGTACAACATCTTATTCAAAAATTTGAAAATACAGTAAGAAAAAAATTAAACTGACCTTGTTGGTTACATTTAATTTAACCAAACCTGTTTGCATGAATTCTTCCTGTTTAATTATACCATATAGATATGCCCCCTTTTTTTTTTTTTTTTTTTTTTTTTTCAAGCTGTGTGATTGACATGCACTATGTGGAGCAATTGAGTGGCCACGATCACAAGATCTAATAATACGACAAGACTTTTTTTCATATGGGCTGTACTTAAAAGATCTTGTTTACAGGCCCAAACCAAAAACAGTTCCGGAATTAAAACAATCAATTTCTGATAAATTTTCTGAAATTAATGCGGAAATATGTCAGATGGTTTGTAGAAGTGATACTGATAGGTTTTAGCGTTGTGTCAAACCTGAGGGGGGGGGGAATTTTGAACATGTAAAAATAGTTTGTTAATCTTAACAAATCATGTTATTTTGATGAGAAAATACTTATAAATTTTCTTAATTTACTGTCATTTATTTTTGTTCAATAAAAGTTATTAAATAAAAAAAAATGGGCATTACTTTTTCCTCAACATATAAGTTTCATTAAACACGAGGTACTGATATTTTTTTCTAAAACTTATGTAGAAATATGTTTAGTAGTTTGTAGAAGTGTTGCTGATAGGTTTTAGCATTATGTCGAACATGAAGGGGACTGTTTTGAGCACATTAAATAGTTTGTTAATCATAACAAATCATGTTGTTTTGATGTGACAATACTTATAACTTTTATTAAACTACTGTCACTTATTTTTGTTCAGTAAAAATTAATAAAAGAAAAAGGGGGAGGTGTTACTTTTGCCGTACACTGTATAATGAGGAAGCAGTTTTCAATTTCAGAGTTATAAACAAATCCCTTATTTACTTTCATATTTTATATCTACACACACGCACACACACCGTTGTCAGGATTAGTGACAATGTGAATTCCACAATGCTTTCATTAGCTGCATAATAGCAATTTTCTAAGTGTAGCTTAGATGTGCACAAGGCCGAAAGTATGGAGCATCTAGTAAGTATTGAACTCACTTTTCACTTGTAACTGATCTAGCAAGACAAGCTTGCTAAACATTACACCATGCCAAGGTGCCCCATTAGCTGTATAATATGTGTTTTGCCAGGTCCATATACAGTTTTTGAATTCAGAGTTGTCCTCCTAGACCGGTTGCCAAACATGACTTCAGAGTGCCGACTACCCTACTATTTTACCATAGTTGGAGGTTTTGAAAATCAGGGTTGTCCTTCTCCTACACTGGTTGCCACGCAAAGCTATAGAACCCAGTATATCCTTCTATTTACCCATAGCTAGGGGAAGAAGAGATGGATTCAAAGCTTTCCCAAGAATATTTGCATGTAAGTGAATTTTGACAAACTCGACTGGAATCAGAACTTGGCTCTCTGATTCCTTAATCCGAGCCACTATCCGCTATTACACCATGTCTCCACCTACTTTTATCTGACGTTATTTTCAGCATCAGGTTTTTCTTAAAACATAAAATATAGGATTTCTTTTCAATTGTTTATGAAAAATAAGTTCATCATCATTCACTTTTTTTTCTTTTCTCAATTGACAGATTTGCTTAACATGGCATCTACGCTGGGATTTTGCAGCTTAGACCAAATTGACCTCATCAAGGTATCAGTTAAAAGTTTTCTAATATTTATTTTTCAGTGTCCATATATGTAGACATATCAATAAATCCAAAATGAAACTGCTCTCTTTTTTAATCATCTGAGAGAACCCAATTTTACCTTCCATCATTTTGGTTGTTTCTAACCCTCAGGGGGATGACTCATTGCACCTTCTCAGGCTAGCATTTCCACTTGTATCAAGTGGAAAGAATATATTAAATCAGTTGCTAAGTATGCAGCTAGAAAAGTTGATTTACTATGTCGAGCTTGACAATTTTTCTCGCTAGAATTTATCTTAAATGTTTATAAGTCTACCATTCTTCCTTGCTTTGAATATTGCTACCACATCTGGTCTGGTGCTCCTGCTAAATATTTAGAGATTCTTGATAAAATCCAAAGAAGAATCTACAATGTTATTGGTCCTGACCTGGCATCTCGGTTTCAGTCACTTCCCACTGCCGTAATGTAGCTTCCTTATACCTTTTCTATAAATACCTTTTTGGTAATTGTTCTGATAAACCTTCCTCTGGGGTACCTAGACTTTATGAATTTAAGTGCAGTAAAAAATTGGCAGCAAGGTCTCATCATTTTACAGTTGAAATGTCTCAATGTAACTCTATGTTCTATGCAGTTTCAGTTTCTTCTATCACACTTTTCGCTTGTGGAACTCTCTTCTGGCTTCCCAGGTTCAATTCCTGCCAAAGAGCACAAATTTTCCTTTGATAAGATTTCTCAAACATTCAGGCCAGTAGGTAAAAATAAATAAATATACTATTTAATATATAAACGGAACACCTACTCAAATGTGAATATCAACTAATAATAACATTTAGTGATAAAAAAAAAAAAAAAAAAAATTGTCAGATTAATAATAATCCATTCTAATATATATATATATATATATATAATATAAAAGGCTCAAACACTAATATTCTATAGTTATAATTTATTACATTAGAATCGTAATCACGATTCAATTCATCAGACCTACAAATTCAAAAAGAAATTGGAAAATATAACTCTGGGTATAAAAAGCTATATATATATATATATATATATATATATATATATATATATATATATATGACCTAAGGTTTAAAATCAAATTTTTAAATTGAAAAGTCTTTCTTGAAGTTTTTATTTTAGTTTTAATTTCAAACTAATAGATTAAATTTAATATTCTCAATTATGCAAAATACTTTGCTGAATTTCAAAACTAAATTAACTGGAAGGACATTTTTTTCTTTGGTTATCACTAAAAATTGCTGATTTTAGCCATTTTTAGCCATCTGTCAACACAATGGAATTCTCTTTATAAAAACATCTTTCAAAAATATACTTTCTGAAACTTTATTTGTGTAATATTAGCTGAATTAAAGTTTAATTAATCTGATTTGAAACAAAATTTTATTTTTAAGATATTGCAGAAGTTCATTTTTAAGTTTTTTTAAGGTGTTGACAGATTGACAACCAGAAATTTAACTTATTTTTTCTATGGGGGAAATTTTTTTAACAGTTACTTCATGAATATAACATGAGCACCTTTTGTTATATAATTTTTAACTACCCAGTAATATTAAAAATTTAGGAAAATATTCTCTATAATCTAATGTTTTATTTAATTTTAAGATTTTTTAGATTATATACCAACAGATTATTACCTATTTTTATATATATATATATATATATATATATATATATATATATAAATATAGATAACTAGACTCATTTCGAAAAAACCTTGAATTTTTTGATTTGCTAATCAAATCAGTCTCGAGGGAAAAAAAGTTTTTTAAAAAAAAAGAGCTACAAACATGAACTTCCGCTGACAAAAAAAAACAATCAGATGCAGGTCTGAAGCCCAAAGTAAAAACCCCGATACGAGTAACAACTAACTAACAAAAGAGCTCAATACAACCGTAGAGCATTCCTTAGATACACCTTCTGAAAACAAACCTACATAAATTTTCACCTAACAGGAAATAAAATTTCTGACGATCCGTTTAGGTGAAACCTAGAGTTTTTCTTTGTCTGGCTTACTAGGTGTGTATGTATATATATATATATATATATATATATATATATAATGTAAACCTAAAATATGTTCTCTCTATGATACTGGAAATGACATTGTTATATTATCTTTGATGCCTAGAGCTGAAAAAGAAAGAAGAGGAATAGGGTGGGAATATAAGGAGAAATAACCATGACATTTAACACATACGCACATGCATGCATTTATACACAAACACACAAAAATTAAATTTTTCTTTCTTTCTTGTTTTTTTTATTGTTATTTCTCCTCTTTTCATTCTCTATCACTCTCACTACCCTCTTTGCATCTTATTGGCATTATCACCTTACTTGGGGGTGAAATGGTTAAAAAATAATGTCTTTACTAGAAAAGACAGAAATAATAATGAAAATCTATATGTTATATTTACATATATCTCTATGTTTCAAGGGCAAATTTTGCAAAAATTATCTCTTGAATAGCAATACTTGTCATAGTTTTTGGCGCTATACCTAAGGTCTAATCATTCAAAGTTTAGCTAAACCTTGTGATTTATGGTTGCCAGCAAATGTGAAATATAAATTGAAGGCACAAAAATCATGCAAATACAAAGCATGCTACTAGATTGGCAATTAGGTCCCATCGTTGTACAGTTGAAATACCTAGATGTAATATTTCTGCTGTAATAGTTTCTTTTCTCATCTGTGAAAATCTTCCAGTTTATTCCTTCCCTGTCAGTTACAATCTTCAAAAATTTAAATACAACATCAATCGACATTTTTTTTCTTTGTTTGTTTTTTTTTTTTTTACCTGTAGACATTTCTCTTTTCATTCTCTATCACTTTCACTACCCCCTTGCATCTTAGTGGCATGATCACCTTCCTTGGGTTAAAATGATTAAGAATAATGTCCTTACTAGAGAAGGCAGAAATAATGTTAAGGAAAATCTTTTTTTATATATATATATATATATATATATATATTATTTATATTGTTTCGTTGTCCTCATCTTTATTGCAATATTCACAACATTTCAGCCATTGTATGCTCCGGCCTTCTTCAGGTCATTGGAATTTCAAAATGAACCCTTTATTTTGTCCACGTTGTTCTAGTTCTGCGTGCCATGCCTCTTCCGGTTGTTTCAGTTATCTCCCTTGAACTCACAACTCTTTGGGTCAAGTCACTGGATCCAACCAATGCTTTTATCCACTTTATCACTTCCCTATCACCTACCATCTTCAAAAATTTAAATGCAACTTCTTCTCTTCCTGAATCCTGTATTTTTTCTCGCTTACTAAAGTCTTATTTTCTTCCACTCCCAGTAACCTCTTGCATCTTAGTGGCATTATCACCTTCCTTGGGGTGAATGATTAAAAAAAAAAAAAAGTCAACCCATCAAAAATATTTCCCACTTATATAAACCCTTATATTTTCTGTTATTCTATTTCAGGGTTCTGCGTCCGCAAAAGATCAGGTCAGGTTTCTGTCCTTGATACTAGACACAGTTGAAATGTGCCATGAGGAACACATAGAGGCTCATCTTTTGCCAGACATTTCCAATCTTGTACTCCTGACGTAAGTTTTTTCTTTCCAAAAGAAAAAAAAAAAATGGATTTTACAGCCAGAAAAATGGAGACGCACAGTCTCTTTTCAGTTATTAATGTCCTGGCCTTACATAAAAATCCTAAAGGATAGTCGATCACTTTCCACAAATATTTGCTTACAGCCACATCACATTAAAATATTGGTTCCTGTATGATCAACAAACTTAAGCAATGTCAAGCCTGGTCAGTACCTAGATGGGTATCCGCTTAGGGATATCAGTTGCTGTAACCTTGGATGTGTGGATGGTGTAATGGATAACGAGCTGAGTTCTAATTCCTGTTGGGTTCATTATATTCACTTGGGAAAGGTGTGAATCCATCTTTTTTCCCCTCACCCCCAAAGCTATGTGGGTTAATTAGAAAACAATGAAAACAAATGCTGTGTTGAGAAATGAGGACTCTAACCCTGTTTATTCAGGGCTACTCAGTCAGGGTAGGTGACGTTTGGAACAAATTCTTTGGAATCTAGCAGCTCTTCAGAAGGTCATCTAGAATATAAATGTGTAGAAACAACAGCGGCCATATATGAGGGCTCAGTTTATATATTGCATGTAATATAGAATTGATCCTCCACATTATAATTTCTTGTTTGTTTATCAAATTCTGATTAGGTGTGAATCTGTCTCTTCTCCCAACCCAGCTATGGGTTAATTTGTAAGACTTTTTGTTTTCACCGTGGCATACAATGTGAGGGATCAGTTTTTTATATTGTTTGTAATATAGAATTGATCCTCCACTTTATATCCACATTATAATTTCTTGTTTTTTTATCAAATTCTGATTAGGTGTGAATTTCTCAGCTAATCTTCTCCCAACCCAGCTATTTAGAAAATTTTTCTACTATTCATTTCAGTACCAGTAAATTTAGATTATTATCTCCAAGAAAAAGAAAACTTCATGAATTTAAAATATTTAGGTTCCTTTTTTCACTGTCAAAACAGTTAAATGTAGCCATCTCTTCTACTCCAATAGCTTCATGTCTCGCACTTCCCAACTGTGGAACTCCCTTCCTTTACTTGCTTCCCTGATAGCTATAATCTTCAAATATTCAAATGTAATGTCAATTGACATCTCCATCTTGATCTCTATTCCCCATTCCTTCTCTTCATCCTTTCCTCTATCACGCCTATTTACTCTCGCTTCCACTCTCTGTAACCCCTTGCATGCTAGTGGCATCCCGCCTTGCTTAGGGTGAAATGCATTAAAAAAAAAAAATAAAAAAAATATTTTAAACATAAGAACAAAAAATTCTGTTTTTTTTCAAATATTTTTAAATTTTTTATTTTTTTTAATTGAATTTTTTTTTGTTTGATTTTTTTTATCTTAGATATTTTAATATTTTATTCTTATTTACAAGATTAATTACAATTTTATTTAATTTTTGATAGAAATAGTTTTTTCATATTTTGAAAAAAAATGAATTAAATGGAATAATAATCATGATTGAATATTTTATTTTTTCCTCTTTTTTTTTATTCAGTTCCTGTTAATATATCTCAAACTTCATTTGTTGTTGGAATTTTTAAAAAAATTTTCAGAAAATTTTATTATTTTAAATTGATTTCTTCTAAAATTTAATCTGTTTAATGATAAATTTATTTTGATATATTTTAATGTATTTTATTAAAATCCAATTATAAGATTAAATCCCAAAATTTAAATAAGATATTTCAAAAATTATTTATTTTTTTAGGATTTGTCCATTTTTTAATTTATATAAGATTATTTATTTGTTTTTTTTTAATAAATATTAATTAAATATAAATAAAAAAAAAATTAAAATTAATTTTATATATATTTTATAAACTAAATTCATAAATATTCAATTTGCATAAAATATTTAATTTAAAAAATCTTTTGTAAAAAAGGAATTTTATCTGTTCAAAAATTTTAAAAATTTCAAAGATTTTGAATTAAAAAAATGAAAAAATTTTTATTTTTTATCAATTTTAATCCAATAAATAAAAATTTTCAATTTATTTTTTTAAAAATATTCAAAATTTTGATACTTTTTTTGTTAAATAATTTTGCATATATAATATTTTTAATTTTAAATCCATATTTAAAAAAAATTATTTGTTTAAATAAAATTTATTAAATATAAATTAATTGTTATAAAACTGATTTAAAAAATTTTATTGTTCAACCAAATTTATATACAATTAAAATTTTAAAAAATGAAAAAATATTTAAAATCAAAATTTAAATTAAAAATTGATTAAAATTTTATATTTTAAATTTCTTTTATTTTTTTAAAAAAAAAGGAAATTAAATAAAATGTTTAAAAATTTAAATTTTTTTATGAGAAAAAAAATAAAAAAATATTTAAGAAAAAATTTCCTGTTAAAAAACTGATTTTTATTTTACAAGAAAAATTTTTTTAAATTTTAAGAAAAGTTTAAAAAATTAAAAAATAATTTTTTTTTCATTTTTTTTAAATTTTCTAAAATTTAAAACATTTTTCTTTTTTTTTTTCAAATAATTTGACATTTATATTTTTTTTCTTTTTTATTAATGATTAGAAAAAAATAAATTAAATTTTAAATAATTTTAATTTTAAATCATTGTATTTATTTTTTTAATTTATTTAAATAGATGTTTTATATTTTAAAAAAACTATTTTTCTTTTTTTTTTGTATTTGAACCTTTTAAATTTTTTTCCAGATTTTTTTAATATTTATTTTAATTTAGAAAATAATGCTGAATTTAATTAAAATAAAATTTAATTTTTAATATAAATTAGTTTATATATATGTTTAATTGAAAACAATAAAATATAATATTTAAAATATTTTTTATATATTTTTATTCCAATTTATAAATGAATTGTTAAAAGCTTTTAAAATTTATATTTTATAGGATTAATAAAAAAAAAAAAAAACAAATATATTTTTTATTTTTATATTAAATTTAATTTTTTTCTTTCATTTTTCATTTTTTTTTTTTAAAAAATGTTTTTTTTTTTTTTTTGAATCAATATATCAAAAAATAATAATTTTTTAAAAAATAAAATTCTTTTAAAAAACTGAAAATTTTTGTCAGCCTTGATTTCAAAAATGAATTATGAAATAAAATTTTTATTTTTATAAAATTTTTAAAAAAAAAATTTTTGATCTTTTTTTCAATTCATTTTTTTTGATTAAAAAAATTTTTTAAATTTTTTTTTAAATTTCAAAAAATTTTATTAAAAAAAATTTTTAAATGACATTAGCTATTTTATGTCAAAAAAAATAGAATAAAAATTTTAAGTTTTTTATTTTTCATTTTTGGAATGATATTATTTATTTTTTTTTTTTTTTAAATGAGTTTTTTTTTATGATTAATTGTTATTTTCATAAAAGATTTATTTTTTAATATAAAAAAATTTAATTTATTTAAATAAGTATAAAATGAAAAAATTTTTTTTTTATTTATTTAATAAATTTTTTAATAATGCATTTGATTTGTTTTTTTTTTTTAAAAAAAAAATATTTGAAAAATGAATTTCAAAAATTTTTTTTTTTTTCAAAAATAAAAAATTTAATTTATTTTTTTATTTTTAAAGATTTAAAAATTTATTTTTTTTTTTTTTTTTTTTCTTTTGAAAAAAAATTCTAAAATTGAAAAATAAAAAATATTAAAAACAATTTATTTATTTATTAATGGTTTTTATTGGAGTTGATTTTTTTATATTTGATCTAAAAAAAAAAATAATTCAATTAACTTAAAAAAGTTCCACTAATGTTTTTTTTTTTTTTTTTGGATTAATTGTTTTTTTTAATTTAATAAAAAATAAAAAAATTGTTAAAATAATTTTGATAAGTTTTTTTTTTTTTTTTAAAAAAATTTTTAATATCAGATTGAATAACAATGAATTTAAAAATTGTTTTTAATTTTTTAAAATTTTTTTAATGAATAATTTCAATTTTAACCTTTTGGTTGGATTTTTTGAAAAAAAAAATACTTATATATTTTCTTTAACATGAATTTTAAAAAAAAAATAAATAAATATTTGTAAAAAAATCATTTTATATTTTCTTTGAAATTTTTCTGTTTGTTTAATTAAAATAAATATATTTTTTTTTTAAATTTTCATTTTTAAAATTTAAAATTTAAAAATTTTTGAAATTAAAAAAAATTAAAAAATTTAAAATTTTTATTTGAATTTTTTTAAAAAGAATTATAAAACATTTTTAAAAATTAAAATTTAAATTTTATAATTTTTTTTTTTTTATTTGTATGTGTGTTTGTGTGTGTTTATATTGTGAGTAATTTTTTATATTAATATAAATATGTTTTTTTTATAAATTTTTATTTTATTGATTTTCAAAATTTTTTCAAAATTTTAAAAAATTTTTTGTATTTTTTCTAAATTTGTCAAAATGTCTTCTATATTTGTAAATTTGTGTATTTTTATTTTTAATTTTTTTGTTATAAATAAAATTTTTTATATATTATAAATAAAAAAAAAATTTTTGTGTATATATAATGATTTTAAATATTAAGATTATTTTGTTTGTTTTTTTTTTTAGTTTATTTTTTGAAAAATTTTATTTAATAAATTTTAAAAAAAATAAAAAAATTAAAGGAAATATTTTATGTAAAATTAAAAATCTTTTTTTTTTCAATATTTTTTTTTCAATTTCCAAATTATATAAATTAAAAAAAATGAATTGAAATAAATTGTTAAATTTTTTCTTTTGATTTTTACAAAAAAATAAAATCAATTAGAAGGATTGGAAAAATTTTTATTGAATTTAAATTTAAAATATTTAATTCATTATTTTCTTTTTTTTTTTTTTTTTTATTATTTCTTTTTTTTTTATTTTTTTTTTTTTTTTAAATTTTTGGAATTTGAAATAATAAATTTAAAAAATAATTTTTTATTATG